CCCCCACCTTCTCATCGTCCTCCACCTCTTCCTCCTCCTAAGCATCAGCATCATCAGCGTCATCGACATCATCATCACCGTCATTGTCATTATCAGCATCACCATCATCATCAATACCGCCATCGTCATCATCATTATCGCTATCAGCATCAACATCCTCATCATCAGCGTCATCATCATCACCACCAGCACCATCATCATCAACATCATCATCCTCCGTTTCCTGGCCACCTTCTGTGGGCCCCTCGGGTCGTCCACGGGCTTCCGTTTTCGCCGCCTCCTCGCAACCTCCAAGACGCGCCCCTCTCCTGCCTGGCGGGCTACTTCCTTGCCGCTGGCAGCCCGCGACCGCCCGGCAAATCCGCCCTTGCCTCGCCGTCGTCCTCCTCGTCCCCCTCCGCCGCCTCCTTCCCTCTTTCCTCACGCGGCGTCCGCCGCCGCCGCCGCCTTCACCGCCTTCGCGGCAGCAAGGCGGGCCGCATTCGCATTCGCCCCTGACCGCCGCTGCTGCAGCCGCTGCAGGATGGCCAGCGCGTTCTCCCTGTGGAGGGAGAACGGGCGTCGCTGGGCCATCCTGTCCGCCAAGCTGGCGGCCTTTTCTCCGTGCGCGTCGGCCGCGCGCTTAGTTCGCACAGCGAAAGCGCGTCGCGCCTCGCCGCCCCGGCTCCCGCCGTGAGCCTCCACCACCACCACCAGGATGAATGCGATGTCGGCGTCGCGGCAAGGTTGTGCCGTGCCCTGGTGCTGCCGCTTGTATTCTTCGTGCCTGCCGTGGGCGGCGCTGGGATCTACGACGAAGTGCGCGGTCAGGTCCGCGCGCATGCCCGACATCACGGCGAAGTCCATGGCGGCCAGGAGTTCCCCGTGCCACAAGGGGATGTAGACGTCCGCTGGCCAGCGGCCGTCGTTGTCCAGGCCGTCGCCATTCGGTTCCCCCGCGCTTGGCCCCTCGCTTGGTGCCAGCGGCGGCAGCAAGCCGGGCCGCTCCAGCTCCGCCCCCGAGAAGCTCGCCGTCTGGGCGTCGAAGAAGGTGCCGTTGCGGAGTTTGTTGTGGCGGCGCGTGCGCTTGCCCTGGCAGGCGCACGTAAGAACGTGGTCGCATTCACGCCAGATAGAGCATTTCCTCGTCCATCAGCTGGACCCGGATCTGCTGCGTGATTCCGATCCGCATCAGAGGTGTGCGCGCGTCGCAGGCGCGCGGCGTCGTTGACCTTCTTCGAAAGGGTCTTATGCTTGGAGCGCGCCTTTCCGTCTAAGCGCGGGGCGCGGTCTGCCTCTGTCGCGCCATCGCTTTGCGGGCCCCGCCGTCACCTGCGTCGTCGTCTGTGTAGGCCAGGTACATGGACTGGCAGAGCTAGCCGCTCTTGTTGCGCGATGAGAAGTAAGTCGCTGGCGAGAATCCCGCGGCGGAGCGCAAACCCAGGTATGCTGTGCTTGCGCCCACGAGTCTTCGGCGATCTGGGCGCAGGCCAGCTGTTCCAAACAGGAACGGAGTCCATCTCCAGGCACGCCTTGGTGTGGGCGGAGGGCGGCACAACGCGCCGAGTAGCCGAGCTTGTAGTCAGAGGCGCACTGCCGAAGGAGGTGCAGCGCCGTTTGCGCGTTCACCAGACCGGCCTTCGCATCCAAGAACTCCGCGGCCGTCTCCACCCGTTTCAGCGCGAGTTGGTGGCAGAAGTCGTCGTTTCTGATGGGCGTGCCGATGAGCTCGAACCTACGTCGGTGCGCAGTCGGAAGCCAGCTGGGAAGTCGTCGTCGGCAGACACGATACTGTCTGCTCCCGCCGCAGGGACCACCTCGCACTGGCCTGGCCCCGTCCTAAGTTCTATGTCCACTTTTGCAAGCTCGGCCATGACGGGGTTCAGGAAACGAGCCGCCGCGGTTTGTTTGTCGCCCGCCACGCAGCCGTCGCCCATGTAGAATAAGGTGAAGTCGAGGCCGGCGTCCTGGGCGAGTTCTCAGAGGCTGCGGCGCGCCGTTTTCGCGCTGCGTTGGAGTGCCAGGAGAGGGCGGGCCATGATGGACGCCGCGGTCGGAGCGAAGCATCTGTTTGCCCAGGAAAAGAAGCGAGGGGCTGCCTTATAACCAATCCGCCCATGGTGCCAGCATTGTAAAGTTTTTTCGGACTGCCCTGAAGATGGCCCTTTTGTCCAAGGTGTTGACGGCGTTCGGGAGGGCGTGGTTCAGGAATGCTTTGTCTTGTCCCTGTCGCTTTGGTTGCGCGTGAACCACTGCCTGGCTGCGTGAACGGCCCGCGCCTACCAGGGCAACCGCGCCGACCTGGAAGGCCGCCAGGCGGTCGCGTGCGGGGGCGGCTTCGGTTGCCTCCTTGCAGAGGAAATTGCCGACGAAGCGGTGGAGTGTTTCAACGACGGCCACCGGGCGAAGGCCTCCGTTATTCTTTGGGCGGGCCCCAAGCGGGGCGCCAGCGGACAAAGCCGCGGCCGCCGGGGGGCGCTGCTGCGCACGAGCAGGTTGACAGGTCCGCGCAGCTGCTCGTCGACCTCGTCTGGGTGGGCCGCCGTCGCGAGGGCGTCCTGCAAGTGCTGCGGGCGCAGTTCCGTGGGGCCGGCGGCAGAGCCCTTGGGCACGGCCCGAGCTTCCTTCTCCACGACCGAAGCGTCAGCGTGGGCGGCGGCAGCCGCGAGGACGGCAGGCAGGCTGGCCAGGTCACCGGTCGCTGGCCGGGCGGGCGTTTACGGAGCATCTGGTCCAGGACCGCTGGCGTAACGGACGCGTGCGGCCCCGACGTCAGCCCGCACAGCTCGTCGAGCAGGCACCTTCGGAGGCCAGGTCGAGGCAACGCTGCGCACGGTGAGTCTCGTTTTTTGCTCCACCCTGTGGCTCCGCTGTGCAATCTCGGAGGAGCAGGAGGAGGAGGAGGAGGAGGAGGAGGAGGAGGAGGAGGAGGAGGGGAGGAGGAGGAGGAGGAGGAGCAGGAGGAAGAGGAGGAGGAGGAGGAGGAGGAGGAGGAGGAGGAGAGGAGGAGGAGGAGGAAGGAGGAGGAGGAGGAGGAGGAGGAGAGGAGAGGATGAGGAAGAGGAGGAGGAGAAGGAGGGAGGAGGAGGAGGAGGAGGAGGAGGAGGAGGAGGAGGAGGAGGAGGAGGAGGAGGAGGAGGAGGAGGAGGAGGAGGAGGAGGAGGAGGAGGAGGAGGAGGAGGAGGAGGAGGAGGAGGAGGCAGTGAGCAGAAAACCAAAAAACTCTACCGCCGCGGCCGTGCGGGGCGCTGAGCGTACTTGGGCAGCACGGCCAGCTGGACCCAGTCGGTTCGGTGTTGTTGTGGGCCGCGGACGCCACGTCTTGCACGGAACGCTGTGCCCACAACGCCCTGGCCACCTTGGGCACGTGGCACGTGGAGCCTCGTGCCGGCGCGGCTGGAGAAGACCGTCTGCGTCGGTGCGTCGCCACCGTCGGCCGGGGTGGCAACGCACAAGTCGGAGACGGTTTGCGAAAAGGCTGGGTCAAGTCATGGGCTGTACAATCAAAACTGATAGTAGAGACGCACGGTTGTCCATGGGGCACCCTTGCGTCCTTGCCTCTGCGGCCCGTCTATTCGGCAAGGTCGAGGTGGGTCAGGGCACCCTTGCGTCTCGAAGGTGTTGGCAGCTCGCCGCCCCCAAAATGCCAACTTCGGCATCCAAGGCCCTTGCGTCCTCACCGCCCGTCTCCATCACAGACCTTGATTGTTGTGCAGCAGAGCCGCAAAGCTGCGCTGCGCTCGAAAACAGCTGACAGCGCACACGTGAGGTGGTCGAATCATCTTCTGCGGTGGCAGCCTGTTTTATTTTCTCCGCCGTGCAACGCACGGACTTAGTGGATACGAACAAAAATCTTCTGCGGTGGCAGCCACTTGGCGCTCGGTCGCGAGGGCGACCGCACAGACGCTGGACGGGCGGAGCCGAAGGCGAGTGCCCCGAGGCCAGGTGGCGCTTCGCTTCGTGCGCGCGGGCCTCCGCCTGCCGGCCTCGCTCCCGGGGCACGAGCAGTGATCAACGGGGAAAAACAGCACACAAGCACAATGAATCATCGATCCCCAGGAGGATGCAGGAACATATGGGAAGTGGGGGGGAAGACAGGAGCCCACGAAATATGGGCAAATATGGGGGATCCTGTTGTTTCTGTGTATCTGTTTGTGTGTGTCCCTTGGCCGCTGTAAATGACATACACCTAAAAACTCAGAGGTCCTCGCGGATTTCTCGGATCTGCGCTGGACCCCCCTAGCGGCGCCTTCGGCTCCGCCCCTGGCGCGCTCCGCGCGCCATGGAGGGGGGTCCAGCGCCGATCCGAGAAGTCCGCGCGGACCTCGTAGTTTTTAGGTTTATGTCATCGTTCGTTCCTCGACTCTCGCTCGGTGCACCCGCCAGAGATCCGCAACAAAAAGCTTGCGGCTCGCGAGATGCTGCCGCTCGCGTGGGTCCTCGACATGTCGGGCTGGCCCCTCTCGGCGGCAGAGGCGGCGCGTGTGGCTGCGCACGCGCGCGCGCCGAGAGACGAGAGCGGAGGTCCCTCGTGGGTCGACGGAGGGGGTCGGCCACGCGCAGAGGGGGGTAGGGGGAGGTGGGAGGGCTTCTTAGAAGCACCCCTGCTTCTTGGGAGGCGCGTGCCTTGTCTGTAGATGTAGGGCCGGCGTTTCCTAGGAAGCAGGGGTGCGTCTAAGAAGCCCTCCCCCCTCCCGCTAGCTCCCCTCTGCACGCCGCCAAGGGGCGGGGGGTCGAGGATCGACCCCTGCGATGTTGGGATGGTGGCGACGCTGGGCCTCCGGAGGCTTGCTGCGGGGACATCGGGGGCCTTCGGAGGCGTGGGGAGTCTGGAGGCAGCAGGGGGCCTGGCTGGAGCCCCACCTCTTGAACAATCCTCCTCATCCTCCTCTTCCTCCTCATCCTCCTCTTCCTCCCTCCTCCTCCTCCCTCTCCTCCTCCTCCTCCTCCCTCCTCCTCCTCCTCCCTCCTCCCTCCTCCCTCCTCCCTCCTCCCTCCTCCCTCCTCCCTCCTCCGGGCCTTTGGCTGCCTCGACACGCCCGCTGTGGTACGCAACGCGTGTCGGGCGTGCCGAGAACGCCCGTGTGAAGACGTGGCGTGTCGGCTCAGCGTGTCGGCCCCCGTCTCGGTGCACACATCGCGCCGGACCTACGGTGGGTTCGCGTCGTGCCGAGAGGCGGCGGCCCCGCCCGCCGGCGTTCCACGTGGAACGCCGCCGACGACCCAGAATCGGTCGATGTTGACCGATCTGATGTTTTGGAAGCGGCCGATCGTTCAAGCTCGGACGATCCCCGAGGTGTCAGAACCCAGCGCGCAGGTCCTCACGGCACGAGCCCGCCGTACGTTTTTTTCCGTCTGCCTGTTGAGCTCCGTGTCAACACGCCGCGGGCTGCGTGGCGCGCATCGGGGCAGCCAAGATTCCAGGGCTCCTGGGGACTTCGGGCCTGGCAGCGTTGGCGCGCCCCTTCCCCATGCCGTCAGCCCGCGAAACAAGGATGAGCAACTTTCCAAGGTTCTGTGCCCTTGCATCTTTCCTCTTCGGCCCATGCTCGGCCGCTTACGCTGGCCGCGCCCCGCTCGCGAAGTGTCGACATGGCCTTCCAAGGCCCATGCATCCTTGTCGTGCGTCCTTCTTCTACGGACTGACTTTTTCGTCATCTCCGTGCCACGGGCTCCCTCCACTGACCGTGCCCGAGGCTTCTCGCGCGCCTCGAGCTGGTGGTTGCGGTCGTGCCCCGCCCCTGCGTTACAATGGAGCGCATTCCTTGCAGCTCGCCGCCTTTTCGGGGCCACGACAGCACACCGGGCGCTCCAGAGAAGGCATCGCCCTCGAGGTTTATGTTGCTCCCATTCGACTTAATGACCACATCCCAGAAATAATTTCGAGCACCCGGAAAAGTGTCGAAAGGGTGTCGAAACAGTGTCGGGCGAGTGTCTCCCAGGGCCTGACACGTGAAAACCCTTGAGTTTCGGCATTTTTGGGGGCGCTCGAAATTCTCTCTGATGATCAAGGCTAAAGTAGGCTGGAACATCATAACTCGAGGCGGCGAAGGAGGTGGCGCCTCCTCCTCGACCGAGGGCTTGGGCGGCCCCCGCCGAAGCCGGCGGAAGCAAGACGGCGTCGCGTCCTCGGGGCTACGCTGCAACCCGCGGGGCGCTCCAGAGAGGGCATCGCCCTCGAGGGATCGAAGGAGCCAAGCAGTGGCGAAGCGTCCTGGCTCGCCTATAGCCCCACCAAACAATGTTCTAAGAACCCCTTCTGGTTTCCACGAGAAGTTCCTAGAACAGTTCTGGCGGTGTCCGTCTTGTTTTAACACGTCGGGCTTCTGTTATGAGAACGTTGTCTTTGTTATTCGAACAGCTTTGGGCTCTAAGGACATCTCGTGGTAGGACTGCACGGATGCCGGGACGGTCGGCCCCTGCTCGAAAGGAGGTGGCGTCGCCTCCTCGGCTGGGGGCGGCGGACGGCCCGCAGAGGCCGGCCAGGGCTGTAGCGAAGCGGTGCTTCTGGCGATGTCGTGGGCCGTTTTCGTTTCGGCTTCGTCTTGTGGTAAGTTGCTCCAGATCTCGAAATAAAAGTGAGGGGGTCTGGACCCTCCAAGACAAGCCATTTCAGACCTCCCCCGTGGGAGAACCCTCCAAAACTATCGTCCCCAGACCCCCCCAGGCCCTCCAAGATAGCCTGGAAGAGACCCCCCCGAAATGAGACCCCCCTCCCTCTATTACGAAATCTGGAGTAGCAGCCTCGAACTTAGCCCTATCCCTAAGATTGACACGCCAAAAGGCGATGACATTCTCAGGGGTGCGCCCTCAAAAATAAGGGAATCCCTAAGATTGGCATCGTGCTGAGGAGATGCCCAGCATAGGGATAGGGACATGTTCTCCAGGCTGGTAAGCAAGGGCGGATTCGAGACAGAAGCGACGGAATACGAACACAAAACGAAAACGAAGAACACCGTTTGGGTTCAGCCCCGAGGCCGGCGGAAGTGAGCTGGCGGCGGCTCCGCTGGCGGAAGCCAGCGGGGGGCTGGCGGAAGCCGGCGGGAGTAGAACATGCGCCCCCAAGAGATGGCCGCGTTTGTGGGACCAGGGTCGCTGGAACCCGAAATCTTCACTTTTTCATCGTCTGCGCTGCCACAGTGCTTGCCCAGCATTTTGGTTGACGACTGGTTCGAGGGTGGGAGGGCCGTGGTGAGGATGAGGATCATGATGGTGTTGCTGGTGATGCTGATGATGGTGATGATGCTGATGATGACGATGATGATTTCGATGGAAATATTCATGTCACTGATGATTATGCTGATGCTGATGCTGATGATGACGAGTTTGTGGAGGGGGAGGGGGATGATAATGAAGGTGCAGATGATGAGGATGATAGTGGTTGTGGTGGTGGGGATGATGATGACGATGATGATGATGATGATGATGATGATGATGATGATGATGATGATGATGATGGTGGTGATGCTAATGACGTCGACGATGAGGAACATGGGGAGGAGGAGGAATAATAGAAGAATGAACAGGAGGAGGAGGAGGAGGACCAGTGTAAACCCAAGACGCATCAACGATCTTGCAATCCATCTTCCCTCCACCTTCCCTCATCATAGGTTCCTAACAGAAGTCATTCTCGCTTCTGGAAGTGTTTCGTCGGAAGGCATCCGTCTGAGAATCCTCAGTCGTGCCATCACACCACGCCTTGAAGTCCAACACCGCGAATCAACTTTACTGTTTCGCCCTGGCGCATTTCAATCGTGCCAAAAAACCGTTCCTGGGACTCCACCGCGAATCAATGTGATTGCTGCGCCCTGGCAGCCCTGAGCCGTGCTCGAACACCATCCCTGGGATGGGCAAATATCAGAATCCGTCAAGCTGTGCTAAGTTTTTGGAGCGAACGTGCGCGGCTCTCAGGCGACAGCCATATTTTGAAACACTGTTGTCTTCCATTCGTGAAACTTCTGCAAACTTGGACGACGAATGTGCACGGCGCTTGCCAGAGCCCTATTTTGAAAGCCACCCGCCCTCCATCCGTGAAACTCGTGCAAACTTTAAAGCAGCGGGCGCGGCGCTAGGGCGAGAGCCACATTTTGAACATGAGCCGCACTCTACCCGTGAGATCCATGCGGGCTTTTAAGACGAATGTGCGCGGCGCGAAGGTGAAAACCACATTTTGAACACGTGCCGCCCTCCATCTGTGAAGCTCTGTCGGGCTTCGGAGACGCATGTGCGCGGCGCGGGGGCGAGATCCACATTTTGCAAAGGAGCCGCCCTCCATCCGTGAAGCCCCTGCAATCGTTTCAGACGAATGTGCGCGGCGCTGGGGTGAGAGCCACAGTTTTTAAGAAGGAGCCTTCATCCACCCGTGAAGCTCTTGCACACTGAAAACGCATGTGCGCGGCGCTCAGGCGAGAGCCCCACTTTGAAAACGCACCGCCCTTGATCCATGACGCTGTCGCAAACTTTTGAGACGAGTGTTCGCGACGCTGAGGCAGGAGCCACATTTTGAAAACGACCCGCCCTCGATCCGTGAAGCTCGTGCAAGTTTAAGACGAATCTGCGTGGCGCTAAGGCGAGAGCCACACATTGAAAACGGCCCGCCCTACATTTCGGAATTGTTGCCGCTTGAAAGCTTCAGCATCATTAGCCGTGAGGCAGTTTCAGGCGAAATTCCAAGCCCGCCCTACCAACATGTCTCGGGATGCGAACGGGATCGGAGGAGAACGAGGAAGACGGTCACATGCGATACCCTTCGTCTTCACAATTTGGGGAGCTCTCATGGCCGTCTTGGGACTGTCTTGGCCTCCTGTGGGGCAGTCCGGGGGTCCTTTGGGGCCTTCTTGGGCCGTCTTGGGGCCTCTTGCGCCGTTTTGGGGCCGTCTTGAGGCCCTCTTGACTGCAGGGTTGCTGTCTGGGTGCCGTCATGGGGCCGTCTTGGGCCGTCGAACGGCTTTGTAAGGCCGTCTTGGGTTCCACGCAAGGCCCGGCCGTTTTGGGGCCGTCTGGGATGCCTCTTGGGCCATCTTGTGACCGTCTTGGGGGCCTCTTGGGCCGTCTAGGGGCCATGGTCCATGGTGCAGGCTTCTAGGGTCGTCTTGAGCTGACGAAGCCCGAAAAGGCGAGAATGCGAACATCATAAAAACACCAAGGGGATCCATAATTTTGGCTACTTAGGGGGGGCCCAGTTCAAGGTTCTCTTATGGCCATCTTGGGCCGTCTTGAGGCCATATTGGCCGCCTTGGGGTCATCTTGGGTCGCCTTCGAGGCATCTTGGCCCATCCTGGTGTCCCTGGTTGCCTACCTGGGTCGCCTCGGAAGCTCGGGACGCGGTTCCATCTTTTTTTGACAAAGAATCGTGGCCTCGGGAGCGCGGATCCATGGTTTTGTGCAAGGGCCCGTGAGCTCAGGAGGGGGTGCCATGCATGCAGCGAGACACGAGTGGGGTGGGGGGGCGGCAGTCCCTCCCTCGAGAGCAGACACCCTGCCAGGCAGCTCTTGGCGTTCTTCCACGCCTCAACGTGCACACGGCACGGTGGCGGGTATATTGAGGCCACCGCGTACCACACGTACATGCACATCGCATATGCGACAATCTCGGGTAGGCGCATGGGAGGTTGCTGCGCCGACTTCGCAACAGCAGCGCACTCAACTACTACGATAGCTTCTATGTGGATGCTGGGTTCGTGATGGTAGCGAAAGGACGACGGGCGTATGTCACTCGCGATACATCGGCATCTCACAGTTGGCAAACCAGGCCACCATGTGCAGCCACACAGCAACTGTGCATCTGGTAGGCGTTCCATCCGGAGGATGCCCAGCCAAAGAAATCACACACTTCCGCGGTAGATTGCCAATCGCCTTCTCTGTGGCGATGCCGTTGCGTTCGTTCGAGCCAGGCACGTGCCGCACCGCCACACTAGACTGCGACCGTGGCAAAACGATGTACGGAATCGCCTATCTATAACAGATACACATAATACACATAGGACTGCATCTTTGTGTATGCAATGCATGTGCCTATACATAGACTACACAGATGCAGCCACAGACGTTTAATAGACTCTGTAACGTACACGTGATACCTTTCGCGCGCAAATATCGAAATATCTACGGCGGCGGGCGGCGGCGGCGGGATGCGTCGACGAGGACGCTGGTGGTGGTGGCGGTGAAGGGTTGTGGTGGTGGTGGTGGCGGTGGTGGTGGTGGCGGTGGTGGTGGTTGTGGTGGTGGTGTGGTGGTTTGTTGTGGTGGTGGTGGTTGTGGTGGTGGGTGGTGTGGTGGTGGTGGTGGTGGTGTGTGGTGGTGTGTTTTGTGGTGGTGGTGGTGGTGGTGGGTTGTGGTGGTGGTGGTGGTGGTTTGGTGGTGGTGTGGTGGTGGTTTGTGGTGGTGGTGGTGGATGATGGTGGTGGCGGTGGTTTGTGGAGGTGGTGGCGGGTCTTCTGTTGGTAGTGGTGGTGGTTGTGGCGGTGGTGGTGGTGGTGGTGGCGTGGTAGATCGTGGTGGTGGTGGTGGTAGTGGTGATGGTGGTGGTTTGGTGGTTTGTTTGAAGATTTGTGGTTGTGGTGGGTTGTGCTGCTGGTAGTGGTGGGGGTTGTGGCGGTGGTGGTGTGGTGGTGGCGTGGTAGATTGTGGTGGTGGTGGTGGTGGTGGTGGTAGTGGTGGTGGGTTTTCGTGGTGGTGGTGGTGATGGTGAGTTGTGGCGGTTGTGGTGGTGGTGGTGGCTGTGGTGGTGGTGGTGGTGGTTGTGTGGTCGGTTGGTGGTGGTGGTGGGTTGAGGCGGTGCTGGTGGTGGTAGTGATGGTGGTGGTGGTAGTGGTGGTTATCGTCGCTGCGTCCCCGCCGTCGCCCACGCCAGCGCCGGCGCTGCTGGCCGCCGCCAGCGCCGGCGCCGCCGCCAGGGGGGGGGGTTTGAACCCCCCCCGCTCCCCTCGGCGCCAGGGGGGTGGGGGGGTTTGAACCCCCCCTCCCCTCCTGGGCTGCCTCTGGTCATCGTCGGTGCGTCCCTGCCGTCGGCACTGTTGGCGGCCGCCGGCGCCGGCGCCGGGGGAGGGGAGGGTGGGGGTTTCAAACCCCTCTCAGCGAGCGAAGAAAGGGATAAAAAAACTATTTCGCTGTCGGGGGCGCCTGTCCCTGGGCGGCTGGAAAGTTTATACCCCTACGGTGCCACCGTAAGGGTATAAACTTTCCAGCCGCCCTGGGACAGGCGCCCCCGACGGCGAAAAAGTTTAATTTACACCGTTCTTCGCCCGTTAACCCTCCTCCCCTTGGGAGGGGGGGGTGGTCGGGAGGGGGGGGGGTTGGGGGGGGGTCCCCTTGGTTTTGATCGACGGCGCCTAGTGTTGGGGGGAGGGGGCCCACCCCCGGGTTCGAAACGCGCCGCCGAGTATTCCAAAGGCAAGCGCCCGTGAAACGCGTTCTCTCTTATGTTTTTACACCATCCTTGGGTGCGTGCTTGACATGGGCTCTCGCGTCGTGAAGGGTTGTTATCGTTGTGTTGTGCTGTTTGTTGTTGATGTCGTACTCGTCCACGGTCCACCATTGACAGTCCGTGACCCACCCTCGACCCGCCCGTGACCCACCCGCAAGTTGCCCGCGGCCCAGCCACGACTCATCCGCGACCCACCCGCGACCCACCTACATTGCTTCGGCAGAAAAATTGCCGCCTGAGGAGGTTTCGTTAAACAATGTGTAGAAATTCCACGCCTGTGGTGGGCTTCTTCAAATTTACCTTCGAGCCTGGCAGACTGCCGACGAATCGGCCGCTCCATCACCACTCTTTTCAGCAATTGTGGGGGCTATGGAATACATCCTTGATGTGAACTATTGCAGGTGCCCCCATCCAATCCCAAGGCCAAATGGTGCATGGAGCGATTCAACGTTTCATGTTCGGCACGTTCAGAACTTTAGAACTTTCCCAAGCACTGCAAATGCGATTGGCCAGCGTGTTTTGTGTGTAGGCATCGAGCACTTTCTCATATGTTGGCCAGCCCCATCGTGCTCATGGTCCGGCTTGCTTGCACACGTGTGGTATCCCGCCATCGCGTCGTAGGATTCATCATGTGTTTGTTCACGTACTTTGCAGTCAGTGCGTGTGTGGTTTGTGTGTGTGTGTGTGCACCCTCAGCGTTTCAGGACGTCAGCTGGCGATGGTAGAGGGTGTCGCTGGATGCTCTGCATCAGTTGATCGCACGTTGACATTGTTTTCTGATTTTGCGCGACCGCGCAATGGGCCCATGTAAAAGAAGCGCGAAGGTGGTGAATTTCGCGTTGACTGGCGCCTTGGGTACCACTCAGAGGATTGCCGTGGGACCAACATCTGCGCTGTACAGTGCAACCTTTTGTGGAGAAGGGGAATCAGGCACAGTAAGGTTAAGCACGGGATAGTGACGGAAGGGTCGGTGAAGGTGTTTTGTTTTTGTGCGCGATTCGTATACTGCGAGGAGACATGGTGCTTAATTCATTGTCAGTGTGGGAGGTATGTACTAGAACAGCTTTACCCAGAGCTCAATGATGGCAAAGCTGCCAATTCCCGTTCTTATCGACCTACGTGTCTTCACTTTATTATTCAGCAATTTGATTTGTTCGTGGCATTGAAGAGATCCCACGCCTGTTCAATGCTGTGCGATCCGAAGGACGTGGTCCAGTTTGATGAAGCGTGCTGATGTTTTTTTTTCTGTGATTTCCCGTCTTTCAATGGACCTGACCAGCTTGCCGCCCCATGCGCTTGACCCCAGAGAGATGTGGTGGTATATGCATGCTTTTTAACAGCAGTTATGCCAGCATTGTGCTGACCGAGCGTCTTGATAAATACGCCTCCGCCTGCCCACTCACCTCGTGCGCATCAGAGCGAGACGTTCCACCGTGGGGGATCCCAACCACTATGCAACCAATCAGCGGCAGGCCCCCCGCAGATGGTCCCCCTGTTACGTCTTTCAACCGTCAAAGTCCAGCCAGCCAGAGAGTATCATACGCTTGCTTGGTTGACTGAGTAAGTCAATGTGTAAGAGTTGGACTCCAAATTGGCGAGCAACATCATTTGAGGGAGTTTCTGTGGAACTCACGTCATCCTCACCCCCGGCGCGAAGAGCACGAGCCCAGAGCGGCCTCCGGCACCGTTTCCGGACGGATCCGCTGGATCCGCTGGATCCGCTGGATCCGGTGACGAATCCCAAACCGGCGCCCTCGCCTGAGACATCCTCACAAAACGGGCCCCGGGGGGGATGCCCAGAGGAGCCCAGAGCGGCCTCCGGCACCGTTTCCGGACGGATCCGCTGGATCCGCTGGATCCGGTGACGAATCCCAAACCGGCGCCCTCGCCTGAGACATCCTCACAAAACGGCCCCGGGGGGGATGCCCAGAGGAGCCCAGAGCGGCCTCCGGCACCGTTTCCGGACGGATCCGCTGGATCCGCTGGATCCGGTGACGAATCCCAAACCGGCGCCCTCGCCTGAGACATCCTCACAAAACGGGCCCCGGGGGAGGTGCCCAGAGGAGCCCAGAGCGGCCTCCGGCACCGTTTCCGACGGATCCGCTGGATCCGCTGGATCCGGTGACGAATCCCAAACCGGCGCCCTCGCCTGAGACATCCTCACAAAACGGGCCCCGGGGGGGATGCCCAGAGGAGCCCAGAGCGGCCTCCGGCACCGTTTCCGGACGGATCCGCTGGATCCGCTGGATCCGCTGGATCCGGTGACGAATCCCAAACCGGCGCCCTCGCCTGAGACATCCTCACAAAACGGGCCCCGGGGGGGATGCCCAGAGGAGCCCAGAGCGGCCTCCGGCACCGTTTCCGGACGGATCCGCTGGATCCGCTGGATCCGCTCCGGTGACGAATCCCAAACCGGCGCCCTCGCCTGAGACATCCTCACAAAACGGGCCCCGGGGGGGATGCCCAGAGGAGCCCAGAGCGGCCTCCGGCACCGTTTCCGGACGGATCCGCTGGATCCGCTGGATCCGCTGGATCCGGTGACGAATCCCAAACCGGCGCCCTCGCCTGAGACATCCTCACAAAACGGGCCCCGGGGGGGATGCCCAGAGGAGCCCAGAGCGGCCTCCGGCACCGTTTCCGGACGGATCCGCTGGATCCGCTGGATCCGGTGACGAATCCCAAACCGGCGCCCTCGCCTGAGACATCCTCACAAAACGGGCCCCGGGGGGGATGCCCAGAGGAGCCCAGAGCGGCCTCCGGCACCGTTTCCGGACGGATCCGCTGGATCCGCTGGATCCGCTGGATCCGGTGACGAATCCCAAACCGGCGCCCTCGCCTGAGACATCCTCACAAAACGGGCCCCGGGGGGGATGCCCAGAGGAGCCCAGAGCGGCCTCCGGCACCGTTTCCGGACGGATCCGCTGGATCCGCTGGATCCGGTGACGAATCCCAAACCGGCGCCCTCGCCTGAGACATCCTCACAAAACGGGCCCCGGGGGGGATGCCCAGAGGAGCCCAGAGCGGCCTCCGGCACCGTTTCCGACGGATCCGCTGGATCCGGTGACGAATCCCAAACCGGCGCCCTCGCCTGAGACATCCTCACAAAACGGGCCCCGGGGGGGATGCCCAGAGGAGCCCAGAGCGGCCTCCGGCACCGTTTCCGGACGGATCCGCTGGATCCGCTGGATCCGGTGACGAATCCCAAACCGGCGCCCTCGCCTGAGACATCCTCACAAAACGGGCCCCGGGGGGGATGCCCAGAGGAGCCCAGAGCGGCCTCCGGCACCGTTTCCGGACGGATCCGCTGGATCCGCTGGATCCGGTGATCGGCGCCCTCGCCTGAGACATCCTCACAAAACGGGCCCCGGGGGGGATGCCCAGAGGAGCCCAGAGCGGCCTCCGGCACCGTTTCCGGACGGATCCGCTGGATCCGCTGGATCCGGTGACGAATCCCAAACCGGCGCCCTCGCCTGAGACATCCTCACAAAACGGGCCCCGGGGGGGATGCCCAGAGGAGCCCAGAGCGGCCTCCGGCACCGTTTCCGGACGGACGACCTGACTGCATAACACGCCTGGATATGCCGACGGGGGCGAAGGAGGAGGAGGAGGAGGAGGAGGAGGAGGAGGAGGAGGAGGAGGAGGAGGAGGAGGAGGAGGAGGAGGGGGAGGGGGCAGGCGAGGGAGCCCCGGCCCTGGGGGAGGGGCCCTGAGGGAGCCCTGATGGGCTTCCGGCACCATGGAGAGGTCCTGTGGGGCGGCCGCCCCTTCTTCTCTCGGTCGTTTCCCTCTCGCCCAGAAGCGCGCGCCCCTTCTTCTATATATACAGAAACTCCCGATCAACCAACCGAGTTGATATATACCGATATCCAGAAAAAAAAAAAACAACTCCCGATCAACCGCAGAGCGGCGGATGTAGTATCGAGGCCAGACGAGCCTGGGTCACAAGCGTTTGTTTCTCTGTACTCTTGTTTTTGAGGTGAACCCTTGCCTTTCTCGAAACAAGAGCTGTCCTGGCGTGGGACCAAGGCCATATGCAGGTGTGAGTACCGCAGTGCAGGTGGGACGCAGGAGGGGGAGCTCCCTGTGGGGTCACGGAACGTGTGAGTGGTGTACCGACCGGAGAGCTGGGGAGTGGAACGCAACCAGTGAGGCCTCAGGTGGAGCTCCCGATGGGGCCGCGGAACGTGTGAGAGGTGTGTCGGCGTGAGAGGCCGGGGCGCGTGCGAACGGCCGCGATACGTGTGAGGGGTGTGCCGAAATTAGCAGCATGGACGTGCGAGCGCAGCTGCTGGGGCCTTCGCGTGAGCTCTCAATGGGGCCACGAAGCGTGTGAGGTGTGTTGTGTGTGCGTGTGTGTGTGTGCGCGTGTGTGTGCGTGTGTGTGTGTGTGTGTGTGTGTGTGCGTGTGTGTGTGTGTGTGTGTGTGTTTGTGCGTGTGTGTGTGTGTGTTTGTGTGTGTGTGTGCGTGTGCGGGTGTGTGTGTGTGTTTGTGTGTGTGTGCGTGTGCGGGTGTGTGTGTGTGTGCGTGTGTGTGTGTGTGTGTGTTCGTGCCTACGCATGCGTGACGCTAGCATTCGCCCGTGTTAGTTGGCGGAGCCCCTCTGCAGTGCCACGGAACGCGTGAGGAGCGTGTCGAAACGGGCGTGGCGCCCACACGAACGTCGGTCTTCGGCTCTTCGGCGCAGCTCCCTATGTCGGGCCGAGGGCCGTGCGAGAGGTATGCCGAAGCGAGCGTGACGCCCTCATGCGAACGCCGCCACCGGGGCCTTCGGCGGAGCTCCCTATGGGGCCACGAAGCGTGTGAGGGGTGCGCTGACATGGGCACAACGCTCACATGCGAACGTCGCCACTGGAGCCTTCGAGGCCGAGAACCGTTCGAAGGGTGCACCGAAGCGAGCGTGACGCCCACATGCAAACATCGCCACGGGGGCCTTGGGTGGAGCTCCCATGGGGCCTTGAAGCGTGTGAGGTGTGCGTTGAAATGGTCGCAACGCTTGCATGCGAACGTCTCCACTGGAGCCTTCGGCGCAGTTCCATCTCAGGCCGAGAACCGTTCGAGGGGTGTGCCGAAACGTACGTGACGCCCACATGCGAACATCGCCACTGGGGCCTTGGGTGGAGCTCCCCATGGGGCCACGAAGCGTGTGAGGGGTGCGCTGAAATGGGCGCTGCGCCCACGTGAACGTCGCCATTGGGGCCTTCGGCGCAGCTTCCTATGGGGCCACGAAGCGCGTGAGGGGTTTGCCGACATGACGGTAGCATGCAGAGGGCAGAGGCAAGGAGAGGCGCCAGGGACGGGGCAGCGGGAGGAGGGGAGCGCAGCGCTGCAGATTCAAAACGATGACCCAACACCACAGGATGGTTGGGAATAAAGGTTCAAGCTGTTGGGCCACTATTTGACTTAATGTTCGCAGCATTGTCTCCTAGAAGATATCGGTTGAGGTCCTCGGGTGTCCGCCCGCCTCGAGTCCACAGGCCCACGAACACCATTCTTATCCCGCATGATTCTTCTCATTCTTCCTTCTCTCCATCCTGCACCTCCCGCCACTCCCTTCCCAGACCTCCGGGGGATTGATCTTTCCAATTCTTCCCGGGTGCGCAGTGGCGGAGTTGGAGGCGCCTCGGGGGCCCCCAAACGGTGCGGTGACCACACCGTGCGGTGAGTCGGTGGGGATTCGGGGTCACCGCACGGTTCTGGGACTCGGGTCGTTCTCCGAGGACGTCTCGGGCGACAGGGGCTTCCGAGGTCCCAAGACCGTGCGGTGACGGACCGTGCGGTGAGGTCTGGGGGGGATTTCGAGGTCACCGCACAGTCTGTCACCGCACCGTTTCGGGACTCCCAAGCGCCGCCAGGGGAGCCCAGCCCCGATCCGAGAGCTCCGCGCGGGCCTCCGAGAGCTCAGGCTGTGCCTGCTGTGCTCGGGCCCCACTCGGGATGCCCCCTCCTCCGACGGGCGCCGACGGCGCCGGCGCATCGGCGAAGCGGCGCCATCGTGCGACCAAGCTTGAGGAGGAGTGAGGAGGAGGAGGCGGAGGAGGAGGAGGAGCAGGAGGAGGAGGGGGAGGAGGAGGAGGAGGAGGAGGAGGAGGAGGAGGAGGAGGAGGAGGCGGAGGAGGAGGAGGAGGGGGAGGGGGAGGAGGAGAAGGAGAAGGAGGAGGAGGAGGAGGAGGAGAGGAGGAGGAGGAGGAGGAGGAGGAGGAGGAGTGAGGAGGGGGAGGAGGAGGAGGTCGAACTCCACCTGCGCAGAACTCCGACGTCCTACTTTCTCCAGGGGTGGGCAGGGGTGGGCCCTCTGCGGCCTCGGGGGCCCCTTTCCCCAGGGGCTGCGCCTGCTCCCGGGTCGCTCTCTCTGGCGGTCCCGTTGGCTGGCGAGGGGCCCCGGGAGTCTGAAAACAACGAGAAACCTCCCGCCGTGGCTTATCTTCACGACGAGAGGGGGTCTGCGTTGGGAGGGCTCCTCCTCCTCCTCCTCCTCCCTCCTCCTCCTCCTCCTCCTCCTCCTCCTCCCCGTCTGAGATCCGACCTCGCAAGAAATTGCAACATCGTGAGAACTTAACACGGGAGCCCTTGACCCCACCGTTCTGCGGCATTTTCCCCGCCGGATGGATCCGTGAGAGTCTCGGGCCCCGAAACAGGGCAAGATGGACAAATTGCGAGGCCACCGGGATCACTGCGGTAGTTACCGAGAGGATGAGGGGGCTTGGGGATGTACGTGGATGCCACAGTCACTTGTATCTGGCCTATATTGATGGGCCTGTTTTCCACCCCCACCACCTTAAGTTGGAGGGGGGAAGGAGGAGGAGGAGGAGGAGGAGGAGGAGGAGGAGGAGGAGAAGGACCCCCTCCCCCTCCCACTACGGTGGTGGGTGGTGGTGGTGGTGGTGGTGGTAGGCCCATCATATATATATATATATATATATTATATATATATATATATATATATAAAAAAAAAAAAAAAAAAAAAAAAAAAAAAAAAAAAAAAAAAAAAAAAAAAAAAAACAAGACTGCAGTGGCGCTTCGCGCCATGCACCTTGGTCCTTGAAGTTTGGTATGCAGGCGGAATGGCATGAGGGTCAAGCCGACAATTTAGCGATAACTCCTGGTTGCCTTTCCCGGCATCGCCGCTATAATGATGTTATTTAATCGCTTCGCTCATTCCGCCGGCCCGTATTGTGCCATCGCAGGCGTTTGCTTGCGCGTTCGTGGCCTCTTGGAGCCTCGGTGGGGCCGTTTGGGGCCTCTTGGCGCCTCTTTTTAGGCCTCTTGGAGAACTCGGGAGGCCTCCAGGGGGCCTCCTGAGCTCTCGTGACGGTCTCTTGGGGGGCTTTCGGCGGGCTCTTGGCGGTATTTGTTGGTCCTCTTGGGGCCTGGGGCCTGACGTTGTTGGTCCTCTTGGGGCCTCACGGGAGCTTATTGGGGCGTCTTGGGGGTGTCTTGGAGAGTCTCTTGGGGCCTCTTTCGGGGTCCTGGGCGCCTTCTGGGGCGGAGGGCTCGATTTTTCAGTTCTCGGTTCCCTTCTTGAGCCCCTCTTGGGCCCGTCTTGGGGCCTCTTGGTCCGCCTTGGGCAGCACTTGGGCCGTCTGGGGGGCGCTCTTGGGCCGCTCCGGGGCCGTCTTGGGAGCCTCGTGGGCCGTCTTGGAGCAGTCTTGAAGGCCTCTTGGGCCCTCTTGGAGCGTCCGGAAGCGAAAAGGCCAGAACGCAAAAAACATCGAAAAAACCAATGAAAATCAACGATTTTGGCAACTTGGGGCCCTCTTCGGAGGCCTCTTGGAAGGCCCTTGGAGCGTCTTGGAGGCCTCTTGGGCTGTCTTGGGGCCATCTGGGGCGTCTTCGGGCGATCTTTGGCCGTCTCGGGCCTCTCTTGGACCGTCTAGAAAGCTTCTCGGGGCCCTCTTGGACCGATCTGGAGCCCTCTTGGACTCCGAAACAGAACTCCGGCATCTCTGACCCGACCTTGCCGGGACCTTGCCGGGGTACTTTTCGTCCAGGGACCCCCAGGGGCCGCCCCGCGCGCGCGAACTAGAAATACTGTTAACCAGGTGCCGGAGATCTTAGCACGCCCTGGCCCGTTGGGCCGGCGAATTCGTTATCCTTCCTCCATGCTTATTGTTCTGGATTTTCGCTATACCCTGCGCATTCTCCCCATCCTCCTCAGTTTTTTTTGCGGAGGCTCCTCCTGGGCGTATTCTGGGGGCCTCTGGGGGCTTCCTCGGGCCACCCTGCCTCCAACCGCCGTCTCCCTGAACGACCGAATCACGATTTGGAATTCTTCGGAGGGTGTCTTTGGGCCATCTTGGGCCGCCATGGGGCTTTCTGAGGGCCATCTTGGACCCGTGTTGTGCCGTTTTGGGGCTCTCTTGGACTGCCTGGCAGCCCTTTCGGATGGTTGTGGGGCGATTTGGGAGCCTCCCAGGCGGCTTCGGACGCCCAGAAGACCGCCGTCTTGGAGCGTCGGGAAGCCGAAAAGAGGAGAACCCCAAATTCACCAAAAACCAAAAGAAAATCAATGATTTTTGCCTCGGGGGGCCTTCTTGGGAGTGCTCATGGAGGCCTCTTTGGGGCCGTCCTGGAGGCCTCTTGAGCCATCTAGAGGTCACGTCGGTCACTCTTGGAGCGCTCTTGTGCTGTCTTGGGGGTCTCTGGGACGTCTCCGATGACCCCCGTGATCGCCCTAAGTGTGCTGAGAAGGCTTGGCAAAACGCCTTGCGAGGCCCGGTGGCCGCTTCGAGGCCCGTCTGGAGGGCCCCAAAGCCCCAGGTCCCGGGAGTCCGTTTTTTTTTGGGGGGGGGGGATGATGGGGTTTCCCCCCGCCCGGGCTTATAAAAATATAGGAAGAGGAATACATACATACATATGTGGCTCACGAGTGGGCTCCAAGTTCCCTGAGCGGCCCACTGCGGGCAGAGATCTGGACGAAGTGGGCTGAGCCCACTTGCCGGAGGCACCCGACCCTTTCAAGCCGCTCCGGGTATCGGCAACCCACCTCTGAGCTGGGCCAGGCCAGACGTAGCCTACCTCTGCATCAGTGCAAGACTCCCTTTCCCCTGATAGCACACCCCGCGGTCACCCACGCGGCATCTTGGGCCCTCTTTGCGCCAGGCGGGGTGTGCCCGGGGCGGCCCTGGCGACGGCCCCGCCCGGCCCGGAGCACGAGCTCGGCGCGGCACGTCCCGAGCGCGGGTTCGGCGCGCAGCTGCGGCACCGGGACGGCGCAGGCGGCGCGGCAATTTGTGGGCGTGAAGGTCGTCGGAGCGTTGATTCCAGATTCGAGGTTTTCGGACGTTTTCGTTGGTTCTCCGCGGTCTCCTAGCCTCGGGGTGCTCTCCAGCAGCTGCGCCTTGCCGGAAGCGTTCCCGGGGGCGCCCGGGTCCGTCGCGAGCGTCCACTGGAGAGCAGAGTTCTGCAGCGAGGCATGGGCCGAGGGCCCCAGATCTCCGCCCGTATTCGGAGGAGGAGCAGCGATCGATGCCGCTGCTCGTCCTCAGAGGGCCCGCGTCAACGGCCGGATTCTCCTCGAGATGCTGGTCAGGACGCACGCCTGGAGATGGCCAGGGAGAGTAGCGGCATCGGTGCCGTTCTGTCTCCCCCGATCTGATTTGCGTCCACCTCTCGTTGGGAAGAAATCACGGCGGGGCGGGTCTGGGGTAATTGTCCGCCTCCAGAGGCCCTCGCTGGGCCCGAGGACCGTCAAAAAACATTTCAGGTTGAAAGGCCGGTCCTTGGGAAGGGGTCAAGTCCTGGTTGGCGGCACGTCATTGAACAATTTCGAGGTCGGGGCCCGGGAGATTCGAGAACAGGCATGATTCATTGTGGTCCCGAGGCGGCAGTAGGTCAATGGTTGATTGGTCAGGTCGGTGCTCGGGTGGCTGTGGCATTTGAGCAACTCCTTTGGAGCCCAGTGCTGACCTGATTGTATCCCTGCTCTCTACCTAGAAGGTCCCAGATCTCCGCCGAGGTGAGGCTGTCCAACGCGCTTGTTTCCTTCATTTTGGTATCCAGGACCCCTTTGTCGGGCCCCGAGATCGTGATGTACTATATATGAAGGTGGAGCTGTATAAACACATCAAAACCAATGTGCACATCTATATATATATATATATATATATATATATATATATGGTAGTTTTTACAACTGAATGCTGAGCGGAGACGGGGAACCGGACGAAACCTTGTAAAGTACAGTCGTCTGGGAGCAACGCAGAAACCGACCATTTTCGACTGAAAAGGGTCGGTTTTTCTGCCGGCGAGAACACTACAGGCGTCATTGGCTTGCATACGTACTCATATTTGTGCTCAAAGTTTTGTGGGGGCCCCGGCTCCCATGGAGGCTCTGCTCCTCGAGATTACCCGGGGCATCTCAACCGCCCTCGCCGTGCGGTCTTCGGCGGTCCCCTGTCCAGACTGCACCTGCAATTGCGCGCCTGCGCTTGCCTGCTCAGAGGGCGCGCTCCCGCGGGAGTTCGGGCAGGAGACGGGCTGGGAGTGGCCCGGGCCCTGGGCCTGCTTCTCCTTGATCGGCCTCGGCGCGGTCGCCGGGGCCTCGGCGGTGCTGCTGGCACAGCGCTGGCTGGCGCCTGCCCCCGCAGCGGCGCCGGCACGGGCAGCGGGCCCGGCCGAGCTCGCGGACCCCTCGTCCGCCCGAGCGGACTTGCTGCAGTAGGCGCGCGCGCAGCTGGCGGAGTTTGCAGCACGCCGCGCCGCGGCCCGCCAGGCCTGACGCCATGGCGGCTCCACACCAGCTCATCGCGGCGGGCTTGGCCGAGGGCGACTTCCTGGTTGTCCGATACAGAGTGGGTGGCTGGCGCCTTTGGCACCGCCGCCTGGTAGTGGCGCTCGTGCCCGACGGGACCACCGTTGCGGGCATCATGACTCCCGACCTCGATGAGTACGACGAGGACGTGGCCGACCAGGCGAATAACCGCATGCCGATGATAATAAAGGGACCCCCCCCTTCAGTGTTTAGAGTTGATTATCGTCGCCCTATACAAAATTCAAATTGGGCGGCGAGCGCTGAGGCCGAACTTCGTTATCACCTCGAAACGCTATGTTGAGATAGCAACATCAAGCGATGTTGATATAGCAACATCAAGCGAAGCGATCACATTTTTCAGGAAGTGTCAATCGAAACCAATAATTTTGGGAGGCAGACTCAAACGAAACGAGCAATGTTCTTATTATTCTTCTAAGTTCCTCTTCTTCTTTTATATTTCTATATGTCCTCACGCTCGCCTGAACTTTTTTTATCCCTGGGGTTGCTCATCCATGGAAAATGAAGCACATGAACTACCCTACACGAGCACTTTAAACAATCAATTTTCATAAAGCGCTTGTAAATTCAAATTGATAGATTTGGAACTTTGGATTTTTCCTTTTCTTCGTCCTCTTCTTATTCTCCTCTTCTTCTTCTTTCTTATTATTCTTCTACTGTGTTCTTCTTCTTCTTCTTTTATATTTCTCTCTGTCCGCACGCTCGCCTGAACTGTTTTATCTCTGGGGTTGATTATCCATGGAAATTGAGGCACATGAGCTACCCTACACGAGCACTTACAAAAAACAACTTTCATGAGAGATAAGCCATTGTTGAGGATGTCTCTATGAAAACTAAACGCCAAGGATGTCTTAAAACGTGCTCGGCTTGGTCTCCTCTGGATCATCTCTTACTTCGAGATTATGCTGAGGTCTGCTGGGCTACTTTGATTATCTCTCCCTGAACCCCGAACTTTATTATCCCCTAGTGTTTATTCTCACGGGTATGAGGTTATCGCAGAGTGGACGATGCTCCCGCTTGGCACGATCGGGCCTGCTGCTCCGGCTATGGGTAACGACGACGTCTACGACTTCAGGGACATCCCGTTGTAGGCCGCGGTGGATGCAGCTCGAACCGCAGCATACGCGAGAAGGGGGGCGGTGCCAGTCGGGCCCATCGTGGTCAACCTCGCCGGGCGCGTGGGGGCCGGCGCTCCTGTGGGCGCTGCACCCCCTGCGGCTGGCGGCGCGGCGGCTGCGGCGGCTGGGGGCCCTGGCGGCGGCGGCGGCCTCTCGGGGCTGGTGGCGGCCCTTGGCGGCCCGGCGGGCGGCCCGGCCGTTGCGGCGGCCGCCCCAGTGGCCCTGGTGCCCGTGGCAGCGCCCGCCGCCCCTGCCGCCGGCGCGGGCGCCCCGCCAGCCGGGCCTGGGGCCGCGGCGGCCATCCCTGGCGCGCCCGTCGCGCCCGCGGCCGCGGCTGCAGCTCCCGCGGCGGGCGCCCCGGCGGCCCCGGCTGTGGCTGGACCTGGCGGCGCGCGGGGTCCGTCATGTGGACTTCCGCACCGCAGTCACCCGGATGACCGAGCTCCCCTGGCCAGACTGGCCCGTGCGAGGGCCGCGCACGTTGCGGTGGGTGGCAGAGTTCATGGCGCAGCGGAGCGGCACGCCGACGGCGCATCATCAGAGGTGGCTGGCGGAGACGGGCCTTGACCCCGCCGATCCAGGAGTGGAGATTTACCAGACGGGCTGCGTCGTCCTCGAGACGGCCATCACCTACGACCAGGAACACGCCACGAACCTCGCCCACCTCGAGCTCGTCGCCCGCTCGATCCAGGTGCAGGAAGAGAAGTACCGGCTTCTCGTTGAGCCCGACGATGCCTCGGCTGCTGACAGGTCGGCCATGATGGGGGCGTCGCAGCTCGCGGGCTCTGTGTGTGTCTGCCCCGCCCTTCGCGACTATCTCGCATCGGAGTTGCAGAAAGAGATGGCAGTTGCGAAGGAGCGGAGGAAGGCGCGCGAGGAGCGCGCCCTCGCCCGCGGCCAGCCTGGCGGCGGGCGCGGAGGGGGCGGCAGGGGCCGCGGCGGCCGGCGGGGCAGAGGCTCCGGTGCCGCAGGCGGCGATGCCTAGCTTGCCGGAGGGCGGTCGGCCTGGCCCGCCGCCGCCCTCGCTCCTCCAGGCCTCCGCGGGCGCCAACAGCGCTGCCCGCGCATCGGGCGAGGCCGGGCCCCCTTCGCGTGAAGACGGTCGCCAGCGCAACCTCTTCCCGCTGCCGCAGCTCACAGCAGCCGACGCGGCGCCTGGCCTCTCTCGCACCCGGCGGCGCGCTCGGGCGGGCCACGCCCTCGGGCGCGCGCTCGACCGGGCCAGCGCTGCCGTGCATGACCTATACGGTGACAAGTCCTCGCCCGAGTCGGCCGTTCCGACAGCTGGGCAGCGCTGCGCCGTCGGTCACATCTGGGACACCATTGCCGCCCTCGGCCCCGAGCCGGACGAGTACCGCGACGACGTGTCCGACCCCAACGGGGCCCTCCGGGAGCTCCTTGCTGGGTCGGCGCTGTACCCTGACGGCAGCGGGCCCACCACTCCCTGCGTGCCAGACCTCGTCTCTTGGCCCGATGTGTCCCAGCCCCCAGCGCCGCTCCTTGGGCTGCTTGGAGAGCGGGACGCCGCCGCGCTGCAGGAGTGGAGGTGCCATATGCTTCGAGATGCGGAGGAGGCGCGTCAGCTTCGGGCTGAGGCTTGTCCGCGCGGGCCCTACACGGACCCCGCCCTCGTTCAGTCGCCCGCAGAGTATGCCAAGTTCCTGGGCGCGATGGCTGAGCGCCACGTGCTCACCTTGTCTCCCGCCCGGGGGCGGCGGGGCAACATGGGAATATTTTTTTGAACCTAAAAAGAATGGGAAGTTGAGGGTCATCTTCGACACGCGGGTGGCCAACTGCTCGTTCATCGAGGCCCCGAGGACCCAGCTGCCGTCTGCCTCGGCCTGGGGCCGCCTCGAGGCTGGCGACGTTCGCCTCAGCATCGGCTCCGCCGACCTGGACGTCGCTTTCTACCACATGCAGGTGCCTGCTGGGATGGAGGAGTTCTTCACCTTGCCTCCGATCCCTGCAAAGTATTTGATGCACCTTGGATGCGTGGAGGCCGGCACGAGGGGTGACGACCTCCTGCTCCCGCAAGTGGCGGTGCTCCCGATGGGCTTCAGCTGTGCCCTGCACCTGTGCCAGACGGTGCTGCAGACATCCCTGTGCCGAGCCGGCTTCTCGCCCGAGAACCTGATCCTTGACGGCCATAGCGGCTGCCAGCTCTCTGGCGACCCATCCTCGGTCGTGGGCGCCGGCTACGTGGACAACTACTTCGTCCTTGGCGGCTCCCCAAAGCACGTGAGCGAGCAGCTGCAGGCTATCACCGACGACCTCCAACGGCATGGGCTCGCAGTTCATGACGTCGAGGAGCCCCCCCAGGACTGCGACTTCCTGGGGCTGTCGCTGCGCGAGGGGCGCTGGCTCAGCCTTCGGACTCGCAACATCTGGCGCCTCCGCGCGGCCATCCGCGGCGCCCTGCGCCGCCAGCTGATCAGCGGGTTCCTGTTGCGGGTGCTCACCGGCCACATCACGTGGGCCCTTCTGCTTCGACGAGAGATGCTGTGCGTGCTGGGGGCGACCTGCGCATTCATTCAGGCCGCCGGGCCCACGGCGGCGCCCTGTGGCCTGCGGCGCGACAGGAGCTCCAGCTAATTCACGACCTGCTGCCCCTTTGCACGGCCGGCCTGGGCGCCCCCTGGCACGGGCGCGTCGCGTGTGCAGACGCCTCTCCGTGGGGACTGGGTGTCGTTGCTCGCCGCGCCCCAAAGGACCTCGTGGGCGCCACAGGCCGAGTTGCTGAAAAGTGGAGGTATAAAGTCGAGGGAGGAGCGCAGGCGAGAGCTCGCGCTGTAGGAGCGTCGGAGGAGACTGACGCCGCCGCCGACCTCGGCTACCCCCTCTCGTTCGACAGCTCGGACAACGCGAACGTCGGTCCCGGGGGGGAGGGGGCGCAGGACGAGCTGGGGCGTTCGGCGCTCGATCCTCGCCCGCCCGTCGACTTCGAGGAGGTCCCCGCGCACTTCATTCGGGAGTCGGCCTGGGGCTCGGTCGCCGCGGTCTTCGTCGACGGTCAGGCCAACATCTTGGCCTTGGAGGGGGGGGCTCTCGTTCTTGGGTATCGCCATCTGTTGCGGTCCACGTCTTCGTTCGGGTCCCGGTTCCTCGCCCTCTCCGACAACCTGCCCTTGGTCCTGTCGGTCGGGAAGGGCCGGGCTCGCAGCAGGCGCCTCCAGAGCACCCTTCGCAAGATCTGCGCGCTCTCCGTGGCCACTGGCTCAACCCTGTCTGTCAGGTGGATCCCGTCGGAGGCGAATCCCGCCGACGGGCGCGGTCGCGGGCGCGCTGGCTAGTTCTCCGGCAGTCGGCCGGCGCCGGCACTGCCGGGCGTGGGGCTGCTGGATCATGCGGCTGCACTGGTTGCTGGCGCTCCTCCCCCGGGCCGCGCTGGCTGGGGGGAAGCAGGCGGCTCCGACGGCGTCGGCGCTGAGGGGCGAGCGAGCCCGCCGCGCGCAGGAGCTTGCAGCTGCTGCGGCGCCGGTCCTGGGGCTCTCGCTGCTGGAGCGGCTGGCGGTGCGGCCCTCGACCGAGAAGCTCTACCGGGGGGCGCTGTCGGCCTTCGCGAGCTTCTGCGCAAGGCACCGCCTGGACTGGACGGACCATGCCAGCCTCGACTCGGTCCTCGCGCAGTACATGGACAGCGAGTTCCTCCTCGGCGGCGGCGGGAACATGGGGAACGTGCTCCTGGCGGCGGTCGCCCACTCTCTCGGCTCGCTCCACAAGCGAGCGGCGACGCAGCTGCCGAGGGCGCACCTCGCGGCTGCAGCCTGGGCCCGGCGGGCGCCGGGCCGCACGCGCCTCCCGCTGCCGCGGCGAGTCGTGTTTGCCATCGCGGGCGTCCTCCTGCGCGACGGGCGCTCCCGGCTCGCCATCTGCATCCTCGTCATGTTTGCGTGCTACCTCAGGCCCGGGGAGGCGGCGAAGCTGCGCGGGCGCCACTTGATAGCGCCTTCTGCCTCCGCGGGGACGCTCTACCAGTACTTCGGGCTGCTCCTGCACGAGAGCGGCAAGGGCCCAGGCAAGACGGGCGTGAACGACGAGAGCATCCTCTTCGACCGCGAGGGCTGGCTCGCCCCCCTGCTGGCGGCCTTGGAGCTCAGCACCCTGCCCGACCAGCCGTTGTGGGGGGGGGCGATCGCGCAGCTGCCGAAGCTCTTCGACAGCGCCTGCCGGGAGCTGTCGCTGGAACGCCTCCGACCACACTTATACAGCTTGCGTCACGGCGGAGCCTCGGACGACATGCTGTCGCAACGGAGGTCTCTGCCAGAGATTCAGAGGCGTGGACGATGGCGGTCCGCGAAGAGTCTCAACCGCTACACCAAGGAGACAAAGCTGCTGGACGAGCTCGCCTGGATCCCTCCAGCTGCCCTGGAGCTCGGGGCTTTCGTCGAGGACAATTTGATGGCGCTCGTCGAGGGCTCCCTCCCCACGCTGCCGGGGCCGCCGGCCTGCTCGGAGCTCAGGCCGTCGCCCCCCAGCGGGCGCGGAAGCGGCCGGCGGCGGCGCGGTGGCGGCCACTGGCGGCGCGGGCGCCGGCGCGGCGGCTGGCGGCCTGGGCGCCATCAGGCGGCACCTGCGGCGGCAGTGCCAGCGCGCGGCGGCCCCAGGGCGCCGGCTGCGTCGTCGGCCCGTGCTGGAGCTTTTCTGCGGCGCCGGCACGATAGCTCGTGCGATGGTGGCGCTGGGCTTCGCCGCCTTCGGGCTCGACTGGAGCCGCAGCCCGCTGGAGGACCACGTTGCGGCGACATTCCAGACCGTCGCCCTTGGCTGGATCCAGTCCCGAGCGGTGGGCGCCGTTTGGCTCGGCACGCCGTGCGCGAGCTGGACGAGGGCGCTCCGGCGGCCGCTGAGGTCCGCGCTCCGCCCGCTCGGTCTTCCTGATCTGAATGCCCATGAGCAGGCCAGGGTAGGCGCTGGCAACGCTACGTACCGCTTTACGCTCAGAGTGATTCGCGCATGCATTGCAGCTCGAGTGCCCGTATACTTAGAGAATCCACAGACCTCACTCATTTGGTCTGGCCCTGGGCTGGCTCGTCTGTGTAAGTCGCCCTCTTGTCGCAAGTCTGTGTTGCATCAGTGCCAGTACGGCGCGCTTTACAGAAAAGCCACCACCATCTGTTCGTGGGGCGCCGCCGCATCGCCGTTGCTCGAAAAGATATGTTCTGGTCGCCGAGGGTTTTGCAGTAGGACTGGCAACAGGCACCTCGTTCTTGAAGGGAACGACGAGCAGGGTCGAAAGCGTACCGCGCTCGCTGCTGAGTGCCCCTCCCAGCTCGCCGCTGCCGCTGCCCAGTGCATCGTTCAGTCCCTTTCTCTGCAGCCAGGGCAGGCCCTCCATTCGCTCGCCATGAAAATGACTAGTTAATGCGGCCTTCGGCCAGACAAACCTTCGGGATCGGGTGGGGGCCACCAAAGTGGGTCTCTGCTGCTGCTGGTGCCCGCGTCCGCCGTCTCATCTGCAGTTGCACGATTGCATCGCATCGCCTGGCCCTTTCCTGTCCCAAAAGAATGATGGCCTCGACGGCGTCGCGAGCTGGTAGTTTTTACGACTGAATGCTGAGCGGAGACGGGGGACCGGACGAAACCTTGTAAAGTACAGTCGTCTGGGAGCAACGCAGAAACCGACCATTTTCGACTGAAAAGGGTCGGTTTTTCCGCCGGCGAGAACACTACAGACGTCATTGGCTTGCATACGTATTCATATTTGTGCTCAAAGTTTTCCCATTGCCATCCCGCTTCGCCTACTTTGAACTGATCTGTCAGGGGTGGGGGCCACCAAAGTGGGTCTCTGCTGCTGCTGGTGCCCGCGCCCGCCGTCTCATCTGCAGTTGCACGATTGCATCGCATCGCCTGGCGTTTTCCTGTCCCAAACGAATGATGGCCTCGACGGCGTCGCGAGCTATATATATATATATATATATATATATATATATATATGTATGTATGTATGTGTGTATGTATGTATGTATGTATGTATGTATGTATGTATGTATATCTATATATGTACATACAAGACTGCAGTGGCGCTTCGCGCCATGCACCTTGGTCCTTGAAGTTTGGTATGCAGGCGGAATAGCAGGAAGGTCAAGCCGACAATTTAGCGATAACTCCTGGTTGCCTATTCTGGCATCGCCGCTATAATGATGTTATTCGTTATCCTTCCTCCATGCTTCTTTTTCCTTTTTTTCGCCATGCCCTGCGCATTCTCCCCATCCTCCTCAGCTCTTTTTGCGGAGGCTCCTCCTTGGAGAGCCTCTAGGGGCCTCACAAAAGTTGTTTCGCGCTTTCTTAAGGCCTTCTGGAGACCTCCTGGGCGTATTCTGGTGGCTCCGGGGGCTTCCTCGGGCCACCCTGCCTCCAACCGCGGTCTCCCTGAACGACCGAATCACGATTTGGAATTCTTCAGAGGGTGTCTTTGGGCCATCTTGGGCCGCCATGGGGTTCTCTGAGGGCCATCTTGGACCCGTGTTGTGCCGTTTTGGGGCTCTCTTGGACTGCCTGGAAGCCCTTTCGACTGGTTGTGGGGCGATTTGGGAGCCTCCCAGGCGGCTTCGGACGCCCAGAAGACCGCCGTCTTGGAGCGTCGGGAAGCCGAAACAGAAGACCGCCGTCTTGGAGCGTCGGGAAGCCGAAAAGAGGAGAACCTCAAAACTCACCAAAAACCAACAGAAAATCAATGATGTTTGCCTCGGGGGGCCTTCTTGGGAGTGCTCATGGATGCCTCTTTGGGGCCGTCCTGGAGGCCTCTTGGGCCATCTTGAGGTCACGTCGGTCACTATTGGAGCGCTCTTGTGCTGTTTTGGGGGTCTCTGAGACGTCTCCGATGACCCCCGTGATCGCCCTAGGTGTAGTGGGAAGGCTTGGCAAAACGCCATGTGAGGCCCGGTGGCTGCTTCGAGGCCCGTCTGGAGGGTCCCAAAGCCCCAGATCCCGGGAGTCGTTTTTTTTTTGGGGGGGGGGGGGGGGGCGGGTTTTCCCCCCGCCCGAGCTTATAAAGATATACATTATCTTTGTATGTATGTTATGTATGTATGTATATATATATATATATATATATATATATATATGCGTATGCACATATGTATGTTTGTATGTATGCATGCATGCATGTATGCATGTATGAATGCATGCATGCATGTATGTGAATGTTTACAAACAATGAAACAAACTCCCCTAGGGACGGGAGCGGGGCCTCTGCTGCCGCGCATTGGAAACATCGCAGCGTCGGACGTCAGGGGCACCGTTCAGGGGGGGGGGGAGGGCTCCGGGGGGCGAGCATCGACCCCGATCGCCCAGTCGTCGCCGAGAGGGGCGCGATGGCACAACACGCCCAGCAGCGTGCCGTTTCGCCAATCGCCGACTCATCTGCGATACGGCGATAAATATATATGTATATACATGTATGTCTCTCTCTCTCTCTCTCTCTCTCTATATATATATATATATATATATATATATATATATGCGTGTTGAACACACACACACACATATGTGTTTATATATACATATAGAGATATAAATGACCTGCCCCGTGCGGGCATGCTTGGCCGTGGGCTCCGTATGCGTTCCACCGCTGCGTGCGTCACCCTTGTGTGTTGGCGCTGCGCGGGCTGGGGCACTGTGAGTGGATGTCGTTGGGGGCCCACGTGCAGGGCCTCTGATGCGTGCGGTGACGGTATGCGTGTGTGGCCCTCGTAGTGTGAACGTCTAGTGTGTAATACCGTGCCGTGTCTGTGTGCACGAGGCCCCGAGCATGCGTCTGTACCGTGCATCGCTGAACTGCTCGAAGAGGGTGAGAAGAATAATATATATATATATATACGTATACATGTATATACCGCCGATTCCGAGTCGACGCCCCCCCCCCCCAGAGCCCGTCCCCTCGCCGTCGTTCCCGTCCGCATCGGGCCCACGCCCGCCGGCCACACGCGGGGCGCGCCACGAGGGGCCCGGGCCCTCCCGGGGTGGATCCAGATGTAGGGGGCCACATGCTCTGGACGCCCGAAATGGGTACCGAAAGAATGGGTACGATGCCCAACAGTAGTTCCTGTTCATTCTGAACAGGATTCGCTGTCCACGCCGCCGCGGCCTGTGTCCGTTCGAAACAGGAGGCCGCCTGCCCAACAGCGGCCGCTGTTGGTTTGGGACGACATTTGCTGTTGGGCATTGTACCCATTCTTTCGGTACCCATTTCGGGTGTCCAAACATGCGAACCCTACCCCTGCCAGGAGACACGTCGGCGAAGGGCGTGGCCCGCTCCGGAGACCCTCTCTCGGGGGGGGGGGCGGCGTTCCCCTCGGGGGCGGAGCGGCTCGTTAGGCCCGCGGGCCTTCCGCCAGCGGAGCCGCCCCCGTTTTGCTCCCGCCAAACTCCGCCGAGAGAGAGAGAGAGAGAGATGCCATCTTAGGGGGCCACATGCGAACCCTACCGCGGGGGGCCCAAACACGAGCGCGCAAAACGCTGCTATGTCGTCGCGCTCGGCGATCGGAGGACCCCGGTGGGCCCGCACCGAAGGTCACTCCAGCGACGGGTCACTCTTACGCGTAGTCGACTCTAGGCCCGTCCAGGTGAAAACCGTATTTATTGGTCCTCCTCTAGGGGGCCACATGCGAACCCTACCCCGACCCCCCCCTAAGATGGCACCTCTCTTTTTTTTCCCAACCATCCTGTGGTGTTGGGTCCGCGTTTTGAAGAAACGGTCCCCGCGTTTCTTCTTCCTCCTTCTCCTCGCCCTCCTCCCTCCTGCGCTCGCATGCCTCCCCACCACCCATTTCGGCACACCCCTCACACGTTTCGTGGCCCCATAGGCAGCTCCACCGAAGGCCCCAGTGGCTGCGTTCGCATGCCTCCCCACCACCCATTTCGGAACACCCCTCACACGCTTCGTGGCCCCATAGGGAGCTCCACCGAAGGCCCCAGTGGCTGCGTTCGCATGCCTCCCCACCACCCATTTCGGCACACCCCTCACACGTTTCGTGGCCCCATAGGGAGCTCCACCGAAGGCCCCAGTGGCTGCGTTCGCATGCCTCCCCACCACCCATTTCGGCACACCCCTCACACGTTTCGTGGCCCCATAGGGAGCTCCACCGAAGGCCCCAGTGGCTGCGTTCGCATGCCTCCCCACCACCCATTTCGGCACACCCCTCACACGTTTCGTGGCCCCATAGGGAGCTCCACCGAAGGCCCCAGTGGCGTCGCATGCCTCCCCACCACCCATTTCGGCACACCCCTCACACGTTCGTGGCCCCGCTCCACCGAAGGCCCCAGTAGGGAGCTCCACCGAAGGCCCCAGTGGCTCGCGTTCGCATGCCTCCCCACCACCCATTTCGGCTCCCCACCACCCACACCCCTCACACGTTTCGTGGCCCCATAGGGAGCTCCACCGAAGGCCCCAGTGGCTGCGTTCGCATGCCTCCCCACCACCCATTTCGGCACACCCCTCACACGTTTCGTGGCCCCATAGGGAGCTCCACCGAAGGCCCCAGTGGCAGGGTTCGCATGCCTCCCCACCACCCATTTCGGCACACCCCTCACACGTTTCGTGGCCCCATAGGGAGCTCCACCGAAGGCCCCAGTGGCTGCGTTCGCATGCCTCCCCACCACCCATTTCGGCACACCCCTCACACGTTTCGTGGCCCCATAGGGAGCTCCACCGAAGGCCCCAGTGGCAGCATGCCTCCCCACCACCCATTTCGGCACACCCCTCATACGTTTCGTGGCCCCATAGGGAGCTCCACCGAAGGCCCCAGTGCCTCCCCACCACCCATGTCGGCACACCCCTCACACGTTTCGTGGCCCCATAGGGAGCTCCACCGAAGGCCCCAGTGGCTGCGTTCGCATGCCTCCCCACCACCCATTTCGGCCCACCCGTCACACGTTTC